GTAGGCGCTCACGTCGAGGAGTGTGGTCTGTGACGTCTTGGCCCTCTGTCATCTCTCTCCTGCTCGTGTTCTCTCAACCTGTCTATGACCTCTCTCTCTCTCGCAATAGTGTTTCGCTTATTATAATATACGTTCATTCTCATGACCTCATCTAGGCTGCTTTCAGTGATTTTGTTCGCTGGTAAGCTAATTAACATCTACGAATTCCTACCCTACCCATGAGAGATCGACAAGACAATCGTAATTTGTCGCGTTATCGCGCGCGACGCGTCGTGCCCCATACACGACGATTTTCGATGGGCAACAGAGTATCGATTAGAGCAGTGAACCGAAACTGCAGGAATTCAAGCAGAGTCAAAACTCTTTAACGGGCGATATCGGACTTCCCCGTCCATTTTACACTCAAGTTCAAACGACTAGGCAAAACGTCTCGTCTGCCAGGCGCGGCATCGCTCGCCACGCCGCGGCATATTACGATTGTCTTGTCACACAAACCACTATACATCATGTCGAAACAAATATAAAGTGATTTGCATACAGTAATGTAAGAATGGGACTGATCCATTTCTTTCATCATTGGGGCATTCAGGCGCTTCTCATTGCTAGGCTCGCTATTTTGAGTGCAAAATTACAGTATTAGGACAATTCTGGTTGCAAGACTAATTAGAAATCATCATGTAAAAAACATTTAACGTGTTTCTACCGACCCAACACGAGGGAGGAGCTTGAGAGCGAAACTTTTCTCCGCATCTTGTTTCTTGTTCCCAGTAGGATCGAAGGTGCGCAGCTTCCACCCAGTATGAGGTCCAGACACAGCCTAACTTCGCGGGACCTCCTTTCCTGGACTTTCATGGTTCACGGTGGTCTACGGGGACCATCGTGGACCATGGCAGACCAAAATTTCCTATGTGAGGAAGTTACGGCTCCGCTCCTACACAGCAAGGACTCAGAAACTAAAGCTGTTCTTTCGCGACCCTGGCTTCCTTTACCTGGCCCTAGCGATGGGCTAATGCGCGCAGGGTAGTCCAAATAGCTGGTGCCACTTTTCTGACCTCAGCGCAGGACAGGTAGACGATGGACAGGTCATTGCTGGCCCGGGTAATTGTTTGGGAAGATTTGAATCTGCCGCGCCGCGCATCTGCGTCTCTGCCGACAGACCGGCGGGTCAGCGTCCACTTTCAAGACGGGGATTTCACCCTCTTTCAGGTCGGGGATTTCCTTGTCGTTTCCCTTTCTATGCGAATTGGAATCCACTTTCATTTATCGCTCTCACTGATGCAGTTGTTTTCCGAATAATGGCCTGATTAATTGGGAATTTGTCCGGTATCAATCCATGATCTAAACCTCGAAGTGACTTTCATTTTCAGTCTGTATTGCAGTAAACCACTCCATCTCTACACCCACTAACAGCGCCCGACCAAGACTGCTTTGTTAGTGATGGACGTTCAAGGCAGGGTGTGTAAGTTTGGTTCGAAGTCGTTTAGATCACTCCCAAATAAGATCCCGTGTTTCAGAGAACTACAAGAGCACTTTCAAATGTCAACGAGAATATAGTGAAAAGAACAGCAGCTGGAAAGGATGCCGTATTGACAAGGAGACCAGCGCTTAAGGATCAACGAAATGGAGCCAATATTCCGGTCAGTTGAACTTTCTGCTGTGATAGTTTTCCTTCCCATTGTTTCGAGCTCTTCGTTCAGGCCACTGACGCAGGAGCAAAGCCCATAGCAAGGGCTACGAGGTCAGTTACTACCAAGAACCATGTAGTCCAAAAATCCTGTGAAAATCAACAGACAAAGGTATGTAGGCTCAATCTCAGTCGAATTCGGTTCCATTTATAAAGCACTCAGAACATTTCAGGAACGACTTCCAGAGAAGATCCAGATCCACCCAGAAGTTGTCGGTATCGATCGGGAAATTCAGTACGTGGAGTACTGTGATCAGGTAGGAGTTTCTTGCTGTCCTACTCCATGAAAAAGAAGATTTAGGATGTCGCTTTTCTTGTTCTTGTGCTTCTTACTGGGTAGACCAGTAAGTATAAAGTCTTCGCCGTTAATCAATGCCTTTCTGGGATGCGGGATTCTACTTCCCTTCAGAATCGTATGGCTTATAGAATGCCTATGCAGTCCGTTCCGGAGTCTGCCGATGTACAATCAGTGCACTGGATCCTCCCACAAGAATCTGGTCCGCATTCAGTGTCTTCGGAGGGTAGAAAGGCCTGGTTGGCTTCGGAGGGAGCCGGGCGGGAGCGTCACGCGATTTTGACATAGTGGACGCTGCTCACGTCTCATAATCGTACCATTGGGAAGGGAGTGTCCAGTTCATATAAGGCGAGTTTGATGGAAACCGTAGGACGGCGTGCCGGCTTCCCCCCATTAAACCCCAGTCACACAGTACTGCAGAGGTTTCTGCGTCCAAATTCAATGTCTTCGAATAGTCCATAGAGGTAATTCTTCTCCCCGTAATGGCAAACTCTGGGATGGCGGCCCCTTTTGTCTAACAGTTTCGCTTAGTGCCCAGGTGGTAGGACGGGGCTCTTCACGCTAACAACCAATCTACATCGATCAGAAGCAAGAGAAGGTCGCGCGCTATCGGAGGTAGCACCAGGACAATATTCACACACAAACCAGACACACACAGGTGCGTCAGGGTTTCCAGCACCCCCCTGCCACTCTTCATCCTTTTACGCCCTCCTACCTGAGTATTATGTCACAAAAGTTAAGGAAGAAGGGAGGAGGAAGCACAGCACCGCGATGAGACTACAAATGGTGCAGCAAACTCTGGCGCATATCTATTACTACTATATATTCTATGGCACGGGCTGCGTTCGGATGTCAAGCGAACAGAACAATATATGAATACATCAAGAGCAAAATACCAGAGTATAAATCATATAAAGAAAAATAAAGGAGATAGAGCGCGGCTATCCCATAAGGGGTGGTGATTGTCTAGAAGCTCCGCCGGAGGCTTTATCCAACCACTTCATCTCAGGCTTTCTAAGACTGACACACAACACTATATCAGCACAAAAAACTCTGGAGTACCATCATGGAGACAGGGACTTCGAATGGGGTGCTTAGAGGGAGATCGAGCTCCGAGATGGGCTAACCAATTCCTAGTACGCTGACTCTGTTCAAATGACGTTAATACCACGTTTGCACGAGGAGTCCTTTAAAACGCACACTCAAGACTTATTCGCCCATTCCCAACACTCTATCACTCCTTATCCCCACAACAGACACATGCCTTAACAATATACGGCTCTCCTCACCGACGTATTTAGTCAGCAGCTGAAAGAAGAGGGATGGAACCGACAGCAAACCTACATTAGAACTAAAATGGGCAACACCTTGACTCTCTGTGACCTTATTCTTTGCAGGCCGGATGAATGTGAATGTTCTACACACTGGAATGACCGAAACCTCAACTTCAACGGGAGCCAGGTCACCATCATTAATAGAACCACAACAAAGAGAGGATCGCTACCCCTGCTTTGCAGAAGGGTTAGTATTCCATTTCTTAAGAAGATCATGTCCCCAATTGTTGATTCGTTCCCCGCGCTTTCACCTCCTCCGCCTCATCCGCTCTACAAGCCGAAAATGCTTTTGAGCAGACAATGAACCGAGGAGAAGCATTATACCGGGAGAAGGTTGGGTAGCTACATTGGGCTGGGGACAGTTCATCTTCGATGGAATGGGAGGCGGTCCGTCTCGGGCGAACACACAGCTACCGCCCCTACACGATGGAATACTTCTGGCAGATAAACGGTACGTGCCTCCCAACTTGCTTGTCTGAATCACTGAACTATAAGGTTACAGTAATATATAGAGCCCAAAAGCCGTGACTGTTGGCTTAGTGCTCATGATTTTGAGCCAAGTCTTCTTCTGACGATCACCTGAGGAAATAAACTAGTTTGGAAGTTCGGACGAGTTGTTTCACCCGGAGGTCGGATTTGCCTGGCATGTTTTGACGCATGGGCCTAAAAAATCGCGCCAAATGACATACACCTGTGTGGATTACTGGAACTTATAACAATGAGTAAAACTGGTACAGGCCGCCTTGAGAAGACCGTAACCTCCTGTAACTACAGTGGTAAACTTGTACCATTACGCAGCTTTACAGGATGCACCACAGTTACACCTGCTAGTTAACATGAACTAGCGAAAGAAACTAGTGATAATGCAAAATGCGCCATCCCCTAAGCCGAACAACGCCCGTTTTTTTTTTACACAAATTTTCCACAACGTGATTATGTGCTACCCTGACTACCCTGACTGCCCTGACTGAAGCCGCTGAACCGAAGTTATAGTGGCCCCTCAAGTGCTTCCTATGAGTAGGTTCCTTATGGAGAATCGAGCGTAGTTAGCGAGTTCTGCCTGATGTCCAGTTTAGCTCCCTTCATTACGGTACATCGACGATGGCTCATAGGAACGGGGGTGGGAATGATGCTGTGTGATTTCGTTAAATTGGGCTCGTTGATTCTATCGGGATCTCTGCAGAATATCAAAGGCTCAAGATCTCTGGGCAGAATATCAAGGCTCAAACTTTTAAAGTTATGCTACACCGTTGAAGTGAAGTCAACTGTATCTTCTGTGCCCTCGTTGATCATCGAGTCGAATCCCAACAACGTCCACATTCGTCCCTGCAACGTGCTAGTGTTACCTAGTGGGTTTTCTGTCTCCGTGCTCTAGAGATACGATGAACATCTAGTAACTATTCGTGTCAACCGGCTTTCAACGCGCTCTGTCCGGCGTGGCGGTCGTCAGGTGTCCTTATAGACATCCGCGTGGAATCCTTTTAAAATCCGAGCACCGTCTGACGTAACGCGCGTCATCTCTGCTCTGGTCCAGCGGTCTTCTTCGAAACGCACGGCCCACCTGATCTTCGAAACCTTGGCAAATGCGGCGGCGTCTCTGATCTTCGATCGTCGGCGGAGTGCGGAGCTCCGGATTCCCTCTCTCACTTGCGTGTAGCGGGAAACTCCGAGCATCGTTCTTTCGATGGCGCCTTGAATGACGCTGACAGTATGTTCATCCTAGTTTCGTATAGTCCAAGTCCACGAGGCGTAAGTCAAAGCCGGAAAGATCGCGAAATCGAAGAGGTGGCCACAGAGATGGATGCGTTTTGTGTTCTTGACTACCCCTCGATATCCTTAAATACTCACCGAGTCGCTCGATTCCTTTCTCCTGCTCATCACAAGTGATAAGTCATACATGCTGGATGGAATACTTCCGATTAGTGCTCTAGTTTGCTTGCTCATGCATAGTAGTTCGCTTGCGGACGGTTGGGCGGAATGAGTTTGGCGCGGTACCAAATGCGTTCTCCACCAGTTGTTAAAGACAGCGTCCGCGATCAACCAAGTGCAGAAACCCTTTAGAGTACAAGATGGCGGAGCTCGTGGTCACAGCGGATATCCTTTTTTCGCGGCTCAAAAGCGCTTGATAAAAGCACGACAGCTCAGCAACGATAAGCTGACTCCGCCTATGAAGGCGGAGTCAACAAGTTCCACTTCGATCATTTTTTCATTACCAAGATTCGTTAGCGGTGATAATTGCTAATCTTATCGAATATGCCTTGGAGAATGAGTCGCAGCAAGTGGCGATTAGATTCAGAGAACTCGCCTAAAGTTTGAATAACTCGTCCATTTTACATCCCGCACTTGAGGTCTTTTGAGAGCATTTTCAACGGGTTCTTTTGCTTTTTTTCTTCTTTAGCATTGTACTTACAACATGATCTAATGGCTCGAAGCTCTACAACCTGTGAAAGGCGATCGCGGACGCTGTCTTTAAAGCGAGCAAATGATATGACTGTCTCGAATCGTTCGTATTACTCGTTTTCTACCTACTTTTTGTCGCATGCGCGCTTCAACAAGAAGGCAGAGAACGGCCGGACGGGTGACACACTCATACTGAGTGACACGCCCAATCGTCCGCAGCGAAATAAAAACGTGATCACCCTAGCTGCTTATGTTATCATCTTTTGAACACCCAGTATTCGATATTTTTTCCCCAAAAGTACACTTTTTTATGGAGTGTTGCCACGTCGCAACGACCTTTATCACTAACAAACCTATTGTCCCGAGATTCATTTCGAAAAATCACAATAAGATGAGTTTGCTATCTGAAAAGTTCAAATGTATTTTTCAGGTATATGAGTACCTTCTGGAGCGCGAAAAAATGTGCTTAGTTGAAGAAGACTTCATGGCACGTTCGCCTTCTACCCCGAAAATGCGCGGAATACTAGTCGACTGGCTGATACAGGTATGCTGCGTATCTCAAACGCCCGAGTCTAAGATAAAGAAAACAAAAAAAAAACAGTGGGTGAAAATCTCACGTGTGGGCTAGGCACGTTCAAGGGGCTAGTGAAGCAGGATCGGGCATGGTGTTCTACCATTTTTTTTGATGCCATCGAAAGCCTAGAGTTTTGAAGCTCTCAGCTTTTGTTGTAGTTACTCAATAATCTCTCCCTCTCTAGGTCCACACACGTTTCCATCTCTTGCCCGAAACGCTCCATCTCACTATTTATCTCCTTGACATGATGTTATCAAGAACGAAGGTTGACAAGGGCGAATTACAACTGGTTGGAGTTGCATCCATGTGGGTATCCCGAGTATTGGAGTGGCACAGTTTTGATTTCTGATCAGTTTACTATCACTTTTAGGTTGGTTGCGTCTAAATACGAAGAGATGTACGCACCGGACATTCATGATTTCGAATACATAACGGACAATGCCTACAGCAAAAAGCAGATTTTGAAAATGGAAACGAAGATTCTTATAGCGACCGAGTTAGTTCAAGTAGTCAGGCGCCTCACCTTTTACATCATTTTTTTAATAATTTTTTTCAGTTTCGATCTCTCTCGTCCGCATTCACTAACATTTTTACGTTGGTACAGTAAGGAAATGAAATTTGGAGTGCGGATGCATCATATGGCCAAATTTTTAATCGAGGTTTGTTTTTTTTTGGAAAATGTTCGGAAATACTCATTAAAAATTAGTTCGGAAATACATCATACACAGATGAGTGTTCGAGAGGGACCCGCTAATGGCTAGAAGTATGTGACAACACAATCGTAGTTCGCCGCGCCGGTCGGTGGGCATCGCATTTGACGTTGCACCCGCAAACTATTATATTCATAGTCGTAGAGAGCAGAAATGAAGAGTATTTACCCAAAATAGCCATTAATTTCTACGATATCGTGGTCTGCATGGAATGCGGTGCTCCACAGACAGGCTAATGCAAATTAGAAAAACGCCGCACCCATCGCCGCACGTGACGGAGCTGCAAATCACGATGGTCTTGACCCTTCCCCCTACTGTTTCATCGCTTGGGTTCTATGTTTCTTCCGTGGAGGAAACATGGCAGAGAAGATCCCACATGACATTCACTCTTATGGTGGAGGAAAACAATCAAGAACCTTAGCTACCATTCATTCGAAACAGGTGGACTTGGGCAAAGGCTCTTTCTGTTGCAACGGAGTAAGCACTGGTATATTTCCCATTCCAGACGTGTGTATGCACACAGGGACGGTGACTGCATGCCTACAAGTAGTATCCTTCTTGTAAGTGTGTCCCAAAATAAAGCCTTAGGTGCCTGGATGGACAGTAGAGCGCATTCATTCGTTTGCATTGCGAAGTCTCAGCGCGCTCTTACTTAGGTGGCTGGATTTATAAGATGGTCTGCTATCACCTGTGAAGAATACTGGGAGCGTGAGTGGGAGAGGAATCTGTAGCTAGTACGTCAGAGACAGCTGATGAGAACGGACTTTTGCAAGTCCTGGAGCGCAGGGCACACAGCCGCGGTGGAAATCACGAGTGTCATGTCCAGCCGTGAGCGCGGGAGGGGGGGGGCGTAGGGCTTATTGGAAGTTTGAAATAGCAGCGACACTTAGATGTCGCCAGTCACTGAATGATAAGAAATTCATTCATGCATTTTATTGTGAAGAATACCTAAAGACAGAGGCAAGCTGCAAGCCAGTAGATAATGGGCGGCGACAAGAGTTATTGTAACTGCGCACAATGATGTCGTGAAGATGCTCTCAAAACTTTGGCTGTACCAGTTCAGCCTTATCTGGGAGTTGCACCTTTCCAACGCCTCTGCTGTGGGTGTAGGAACTCTTCCACTTATGGGCGTGGCAAAAAAAGGGAAGAAAGGGAAGAGCTTCTGCAAGTGCACTAGATTCCGTCACTGTTTTTGGTTTTGCAAGAGGTCCAGTACACTGACAGAAAGCGTGCTCCGGTACATCTTATGAATGCGCGCGTACAGTCAATCCAAGTATTCGACTCGATATCGTCTCATTTGGTTTTCGGGGGAGGGGATCGTATTCAGCAGAAATTTTACACAACGAACTGGTATGCCCACTGGAGCGTTTGTC